GCGTTCTATATGACGGCAAAGTATAGGACAGTTCTGGCAGCGTGGGCAAGACGTTGTATCACCACTTAGGCTCATAATGGTGGTTGTCAGTTAGAGAATCTCCCACAGAAACTATAATACTTTATTATATAAGTAAAGTTGAGCTTGTTATTGTATTTTCTTTAACGAACTGCTTTGTTTTACTGTTTTATAAGGCTTTCCATATATTGCATGTGTATTGTTGCTTTATATTGAGCTGAGTATCCAGAGTTGAGTACCCAGAGTCGAATATCACATCCTTGAGTTGAGTATCTTATCCTTGAATACTTCTGAGTTGTATAAGTTTGAGTAGTTTTGAGTAGTTTAGAGTCTTCCTTGAGTTGAGTAAGATTGAAAAGAGGTAAGTATGTTTCCTTCTTATCAAGTTTCAAGCTTATGTTATGTTTTAGAATTCCTCTTACATGCTCGTACATTCCAAGTACTGAGCCATTTGGCCTGCATCTTCTCATGATGCAGCTACACAGGTATTCAAGATCATCAACAAGAGCTTCGTTGATACATCCAAGAGTTCGAGTTAGCTATGGTGAGCCTCCTTGCTTTCGGAGGATTTCATTTACTTTTCAGTTTAGTCAGGATATCGTGGGTCTTGTCCCGACTTCCATCGTTATCAGTTAGAGGCTTCATAGATAGTCAGTATAGTTGAGAACTCTGTATTATTCATTTATTTTATTAAATGTTTTAAAGACTTAAGTTGCCTATTTTATGGCGAGTTGAACATATTATTTTATTCAGAGTTTTCATTTGAGTTAAAGCTTTGTATTTTAGTTTCATGAATTTTATTCAGTTTTTAAGCTTTGTATGCTTGAATTAGTTTTTCGCTTGTAGTCAGCCAGGATGAGGGTTCGCTTGGGGACCAGCACTGGTTCTCGAGTGCCAGCCACGTCCAGGGTGTAGGCTCGGGTCGTGACATTCTTCTTCTCCCAAAGAAACGATTGAAGACTTTGAAGAAGAAAGAAGAAAAAGAAAAAGAAAGAAGAGGGAAGAAGATTCTAGACAACGTTCACAAAACCTAGACCCTTCAATACTTGTCTGAAGGTGACGTGGAGTAATCTCAACCTCTCATCAAGAACGAAACAGATCAAATGTGAACCGTTGGATTGATCAGTCTAGAATAATGCACTCATATGTTAGGTATATGAGGAATAATAATTTGTTACATATGGATAGGTGCTATACAAATTAGAAGGTGACAGGTGTATATTGTTGATGCTTTATTTTTTATTTTATTCAGTAATTATGCTTGTATATATACATCATATTGAGTATGAATAGACATTCAGAATTTTTCCCAAAATTCTCTATAATTCCTATCATGGTATCAGAGCAGTAGCTCGATCCAAATCAACATATTCCTTTCTGAATCATCAATTTCCTGAGAAATGGGAACCCCAATAGCTGAGATTGTTCTTCCTTCTGAAAGTTCTTCCACTCTGAATGAACAACCTAGTCATGTGGTGAGGATTGATAAACATCACCCATACTTCCTTCACAATTCAGATTCACCTAGGATGAACTTAATCACTTCAACTTTTGATGGAAAAGGATTTCCAGGTTGGAGGAGATCCATACTCATTGCCCTATCTGCCAAGAAGAAACTTGGATTCATCAATGGTACTTGTGCTGCACCAGATCCACAAAATCCACAGTATGCACAGTGGAGTTGCTGCAATGACATGGTAATATCATGGTTGTTAAATTTATTAACAAAAGAAATTGCAGACACTGTAATTTACTCTAAAACAGTAAAAGAGTTGTGGGATAACTTGGAGCACAGATTTGGTAGGACAAATGGTGCTAAACTCTATCATTTGCAAAAGGAACTGTCAGGAACTATTCAAGGAAATTCTGATATAGCAGGATACTTAACCAAGCTAAAACATTTGTGGGATGAACTGATGCACTCAATATCATGATGTGTTGCTCTTGCGTATGTGTTTGTGAGGGTAAGTCTAAGCTGGTTAAGTCATTGGAGGATTAACGATTGATACAATTTTTTATGGGGCTTAATGATGTTTTTGCCCAAGCTAGGGGAAACATTTTGATGATGAACCCATTGCCTAATGTTGACTATGGTTATTCACTCCTTTTACAAGATGAAAACCAAATGAAAACATATGCACACAACTCATTCTCTAATAATGCTATGGGTTTTATGGCTAATTCTCAGGGGAGAAATTTTCAAAGATCTGGTAACTTTGTCTCAAAAGGGAACTTCTCTCAGGATAACTTTGCACCACAGAGGAACTCCATTCCTAATCAAATGGGTGGTAGAGAGAACTACAAGAACAAGTGGAGAAGGAATAAGTATGATCCAAATGTGTCTTGCACACATTGTGGAAAAAACTGGGCATGTTTATAATTACTGTTACAGGAGGATTGGATATCCTGATGATTTTGAATTCACTAAGTCCAAAGACTTTAATCCCTCTAAGCCTAAAGGGTTTCAAGGAAGAGCTAATGGGGCTTTCCCAAGTGAGGACTATAGTGAGATCCAAGGCATGACACAGCAACAGGGAACGCCTAGCAACATTTTTTATCAACTCAACAAGGAGCAGTATGCAGCCTTGGTAAAACAGGTTGCAAGAGACCTAAAAATGGAGCAGAATAGCACAACAGTTGGGTTCAATGCTTCTGCCATTTCTGGTACAGTTCAAAAATACTCTGCCTTATGTTTAACAGTGTTTAACTCCAGTACCCGAATCATTGATTTAGGTGCTTCAGAGCACATGTGCTTTGACTCTCAATTTTTCACCTCTTTAACTCCTCTTCCTGTACCTTTACATATCACACTGCCTAACTATGTCAGGATAATTGTGACCCATACAAGAAGTGTTTCTATACTGCCCAACCTGACTCTTCATAATGTGTTGTTTGTCCCAGTTTTCAGATACAATTTACTGTCTGTCAATAAGCTATGCACTCAATACACATGTGACCTTCTTTTCACTCATAATTGTTGCATTTTATAGGGCCATTTAATGAAGAACAATCAAGTTTTTGGTGATGTCAGGGATGGTCTATACTTATTGGAGCATGTCAGTCCGAAGTCTAGGATTTTATCTAAAAATGTAGTTTCTTTTCCAAAAGGAAGCAATTCCATTTCTCAGTACAATTCTGTTTCTTTTCAAAGTTCCGTCAATGTAATTCCTAATGTTGACCTCTGACATGTAAGACTAGGGAATGTGTCCTGCTCAGTAATGAAAAAGTTTGATTTTATCAAGTTTTCCCATAACTCAGATTTTGTTTGTGATGTTTGTCCTAAAGCAAAACAAACTAGACTCTATTTTCCCCTCAGTCACATCCATTCTAAAAAGATTTTTGATATGATACATGTTGATACTTGGGGACCTTACAAGTCTTCTACCTATGATGGGTTTAGGTATTTTTTTTATTATTGTTGATGATTACAGTATGGGGACTTGGATTTTTCTAATGGCCTCTAAGAGCAATGCTTTTCCTATCCTCAAGGATTTTCTGGTCATGGTTGAAAGACAGTTTCAGACTCAAGTCAAATGCATTAGATCTGACAATGCCATGGAATTAGGAAAAGGTCATCAGGAGGCTTAATTTCTTAAATCTCAGGGTATAATGCACCAGACTTCTTGTGTGGCTACACCCCAACAAAATGGGGTTGTTGAGAGAAAACATAGACACTTGCTTGAGCTTGCTAGGAGTCTTATGTTTCACTCTAAATTGCCTATATGCTATTGGGGAGAGTCAATTCTCACAACCACACACTTGATTAATAAACTACTTTCCAGAGTGCTTAAAGGAAAGACTCCCTATGAAATGTTTTTTCGAAGCCTCCCTCATATGAAAACCTTAAAAGTTTTGGTTGTTTGTGTTATGTGTCCACCCTCAGTCACCAGAGATCTAAATTTGACCAAAGGGATGTGCCTTGTGTCTTTCTAGGCTATCCTACTTCTCAAAAAGGGTTCAAAGTCTTAGATTTGGCTACTAGAAAGGTTTTCTCCTCTGATCACCTTATCGTTCATCCCATCTGCTCTTCAGTTGGCCGATCTGTTCACTAAGCCTCTGCCTGGCCCTTCTCATCAATATTTGTTACACAAATTGGGGGTTTCTTCTCTTCCCCCCAATTTGAGGGGGGATATTGACACTCGTAAATCTCCATCATCATATTCTTCTTCTCCCAAAGAAATGATTGAAGACTTTGAAGAAAAGAGAAGTAAAGGAAAGAGAAAGAAGAGGAAAGAAGATTTTAAACAACTTTCACAAAACCTAGACCCTTCAATACTTGTCTGAAGGTGACGTAGAGTAATCTCAACGTCTCATCAAGAACGAAACAGATCAAATGTGAATCGTTGGATTGATCAGTCTAGAATAATGCATTCACATGTTAGGCATGTGAGGAATAATAGTTTGTTACATATGGATAGGTGATGTACAAATTAGAAGGTGACATGTGTGTATTGTTGTTGCTTTATTTTTTATTTTATTCAGTAATTATGCTTGTATATCACTACTAAAAAATAGTGAATACCGACCTAAAAATTTCCGGCCTCAAATGGAGGTCGGTATTTACAAGTAGTCGGTTTTTATGCAAAATAAAGCAGGAAAACCAAATTCCGACCTCTGGAGGTCAGTTTTTCCCGAAAAAAATGAATTACAATAAAAATCGACCTCTTGATGTCGGTATTAAACAAATAAATCTCAATTAAATATAAAAAACAAATAATACCAACTTCCGTATGTCGGTAAAATTAAATAGTATGTAAAAATAAATTAATATAAAATACCGACCTAATGAGGTTGATATTTTTTATATTTAATTGAGAAAATAATACCGACATCAAGAGGTCGGTTTTTATTTCTGGGAAAAATTCCGACCTCCTGAGGTCGAAATTTCGTTATTTTGCATAAAAACCGACTTCTTGATGTCGGTTATAATACAGACTTTCGAATGTCGGTAAAATTAAATAGTATGTAATTAAAATACCGACCTCATGAGGTCGGTATTTTTTCTAATTACTATTAATTAAAGTGACATCCGGAGGTTGGTATTTTTATTTCATCTATTACTTTTAAAAGCGACATCCGGAGGTCGATTTGTTGTTCATTTTACACCTATAACAATTTTGTATACTATGAAATTACGTTTATATGAAAACCGACAACAAATAGTCGGTTTTTATGCAAAATAAAGCGGGAAAACTAAATTCCGACCTCAGGAGGTCGGAATTTTCCCCTGAAATTGAATTACAATAAAAACCGACCTCTTGATGTTAGTATTATTTTCTCAATTAAATATAAAAAACAAAATTGAGAAATATTTTGATTTAATTTTATTTAAATCGTCTTCCGGAGGACGATTTTGTGTAAAATAAAAAATAAAAAAATTATAATACTGACTTTCGAAAGTCGGTAAAATTAAATAGTATGTAATAAATTAATATTTTCAATTAACTTTAAGTAAATTGTCTTCCGAATGACGGTTTTATACAAGTTAAAAAATAATTTAATATAAAATACGGGCCTCCTGATGTCAATATTATTTAATTAACATGATTACTTTTTAATGTGATACTGACCTCATGACGTCGGTATTTTTTATTAAAATCTAATTACTTTTAATAAAAGCAACATCCGGAGGTCGGTTTGTTTAAAATATTCCTATTAATAATCTTAATTTTGCTATTGTGCATAATACTAAAATTTTATTTTACACCTACAATTAATTGTTCAAAAAGTGTAACAATTTTGTATACTTTTATAAATAAAAAGTTAGAATTCATGGAATAAATAAAAAAGTATCTATAATCCATATTTATAGTATAAAACTACGTTGATATGAATTAGGAGATAATTATACTTATATTTCTAGAGTAATGTACAAATTCTATCAGTCCGTCGTCTAATCATGAACTTAATATCTGATGTCATGATGTAGAGGTGAAGAGCTAACATATAATCTATTCGAGTATGAAATGCGAGCGATAGTATTATTATATACGTTTGATCTAATTGAATGGATGTTAAGTGTAGTGATCACCTTCTAATTATGATGACATGTACATGATATATATATATTTGACATTGATAAACCTTTGTTGATCAATAAAATTAAATTTATATAATTAGAAGGTATATAATTTAAATTTATAAAATTAACTTGATCGAAAAATTAAATTTATTAAATTAAACTTATGTTGATGTGTAG